CAAAAACAAATATTTTGTAGACTGCAAAAATATGTTGTTCTTTATTGCTGAATCTAATTGAGATTCAATCAAATAGTAACATATTATATTGCACAGCAATAGCTGTTCTGTTCGCAAAACCACTGCAGAATTTTGTCAGACAAATGTAATTAAAGACTTCCGTTAGATATCTAAAGAGTGAATGTATCTTATTGTACACAAACAAAAGTTTCGTCCGGAGAAATATTCATGTCTTGGTCAGTTAACATATCTTTTAATGAACAGCTGTCCAAAGCTATCATTTGATCAATAGGTTCACAGCTCACTTGCGGATTTCTTAGTCACGATTTAGCCTTGCCACTATCGCTTTCTTTATCTAGATCAAAATTAGACTGAGGTAAGTGTAAGTGGTTGACTCACGCTACGAGGTTTAAGTGCCTACGAGGTTTAAGTGCCTAGAGTATTACACTTACTATGAAACTACGGAGTATTTTATAACAATAAAGTAGCCTTGTAAATTAGGAGTCATATTAAGAGGTAGTTTTCAATTAGATATCTCATTCATCATAGCCGTCGAACGATTAGTTTTTGCGTTATTAACAAGTATCATGCACTCTGTAGAAAAAAGGATACTTTATCTATTCGAAGTTCTGATGATAATGTACATACATACATACATCAACAGTCTATAAATGCCGACTGCTGAGCAAAGCCTCTTCTCACACGGAGAAGGTTTGAGCATTAATCACCACGCTTGCTCAATGCGGGTTGGCGATTACAAACAAACACATAACATAACATCACACCTTTTGTCCCCGAAGGGGTAGGCAGAGGTGCACATTATGCCACTGTACAATGTAACACCCACTTTTCACTATTTATGTTATGAGTCCCATGTAATAGGGGGTGAGCCTATTGCCATATACCGGGCACAATTCCAGACTCCGTGCTACTACTGAGAATTTTTTAAAACCCAGTAATACTTTGCTCGACCCGGGAATCGAACCCGAGACCCCTTGCCCGACAGTCGCACTTGCGACCACTCGGCCAACGAGGCAGTCGATTACAAACTTATAGTTAATTAGAAATTATAAGCCCAGGTTTCCTCAAGGTGGTTTCCTTCACCGTTTGTCAGTGGTGTCTGAATAATCTTAGAAAGTACATATAACTCGGAAAAAGTCACATTGGTACTTGCCGTTGGTAGGTTTCGAACCCGCACCCTCATGCATGAGAAGCGGGCGTGTTAAACCTCCGGGCCACCACGACATGATAATGTAGAATTTTTGGTAATTCAATTGAATGTGTTCAAAATAGGTATCTACTTAAATATGACGTAGTCATCAAAGTGATGGATGGCATTTGGCAGTAATGACCAAACGTGTTCACAATATTACCTACTTATCTACGTGTGATGCGAATCATTACATTTTTTTACTATAGACAAATAACTTATAATTCAACTTTCACCTTTTGCTTTCAATAGTCGCTTAATTTGTATCCGTTACATGAAAAAAAAAACTTAATAGAAAGGACTTACTTCGTTCCTATTAAGTTTTTTGTTGATACTAATTTAGTCTTTCGATACAAACCAGATCAATTTATGATAAGGTCCATAAATGTTAAAACTTTTTCAATACAATAGAAATGTCAGAATAAAAAGAGAGAATGTTATAATAGGTTAGCATGGTTATTAGATCTACGTTTTTGATAGCTCCTTTATAGGGAAAAGTACTAAGAAGTGTGTGGTTCCAACTGCACTAGAACGTCTTCGGTGGCCACCATCACCACCAATAAATCAGTGTAACCTTTGAGGAGAGATAGGTTACCTATACCTCTACCCTAAAGGTAAGACAGGTGGAACCGCTGCACTAGCAAACCCATTTGTATCGTGTTAATCATCAGTTATTTACGCACTTTGAACAACCGCAAAGTTAAATTAAAAGCAAACAGTACCTATCAAAAAAAAAGAATAACGTTTTTCCGGCAATTCATGAAAGTCGTGACCGAAATCGAATGTTACAATATCTCCCGTTCCACCGTCCACGATGCAATTCTTCTAACGCCATCGTGTCAATGTCCGTGTAGCAAGGCCATTGAGAGTGAAAGTCGAAAGCCAACTCTTTATTTTTATTCTTATTTTCTTCTTTTTAAACGTTTAGATGTTTTCCGAACGTTAACCGCCGCCATGTTTCCGATTTGGGCGGGAAAGTTTATAGAAGGTCTTTATTATCTGTGATGCAAAACAAATACTTATAAAGAGCATAAATTATGATATTATCTTTACCATAGTCTCATTTTTATTTTTCCGGAAATAAAAAAAAACAATGAGATTTTGTGATAATTTTCTAATGATCCATTTTTACAAGTCGTCACAGTTCTAAATTCACAGTTCATTTTGCGTAATCGCGTGAGAAAAATGCAAATATTGTTATGTTGTTAGTCAAATTAATTCTTTACGATTCTGTTGGAATTAAACACGCATCTTTTATAGCATTAAAATGTGCTAATTTTCATTGGATAGACAATTTAAAAAAATGTCGATTGATCTAGCATTCGTCAGACATTCGTCAGTAGCAGTAGTTGTCAATAGCAGTAGGTAGTGCAAAAAGTAGGTTTACGTTCTACAAAGTCTGTCAATAAATAACACATACGTCGCCCAGAGCAATGAACGGCTATTACAAAACAAATGCAATTTTAAACGAAATTAAAAACACGAACTCATTAACAAAGTAAAAGTCCTCTCTCCCGGATCTGTGTAATATGTAACAAATGATATAATACTTGATAACAACACATTGCCGTCGTCCCGCACGATTGCACCTGTGCCTACATTTTTTCCTTCAAATATTAACTATTGCGTTGCAATTTAACACGCGTCAACAAATGAAACTGTTTATAATACAAATTATACACCGGTAATTGCATAAATTATGTAATTTCGCTGTTACTGCTTACACTTACTTCCAGTTTTTTTTAGTTGCTTGGAAAACACGATTAAGTGCAGTTTAATTGGCCGGAAAAATTAGCTGTTATTTAAGTGCACACGTGAGAATGCATCGTTATACTACGACATTTATTGTTCATACCTATTTGTTAAAAAATGGTAATTGTTATTGTCAGCTCACTCGTTGGCGACAAGTGTTATTAATTTGTTACTTTTAATTATAACGTGTAGACTACCTGGTTATGTAGCATCATTTAAAGAAAAGAAAGAATCATGTTGCATTTAATTTTCAATATTTCTTATTTATTACCATTTTCAACATCGGTCCATGTTTCTATTTATAGGTAGTACATAACGTTTATAATAGTATCTAGACACATAATGTGAGAAATATACCTTTCATAAAACCTTAATATTTCAGGAATCTCGCAACCTACGGCCGCGAGCGTACACGCCAAATGCCTACAATACATTGCCCAGTGGATTCCGACCATCACCATCACTGGCCGAGCTGGCTGGCTACCAGAGACAATCGGAGCATCAAGAGGAACCACAATATGTGGTCCAACAAAGACCTGCACCGCAACAACAGCAGTACATTGAGGAACCCAGACAGCCTCAAAGAGCACCACATAGGAAGGTAAGCACTGGAACCAAATTACTTCTGCAAGATTTAGAAATGCCAGAAAAATATTGGTAGGCCATCAGATAAACGGTTGTTGGTTACCGTAGCCATCACAAGTGTTTTGATGACCAGGTGGACTAGTTAATTATGTGTTCCGAAAACGATGGCGCAATAAAAGCGGTTGGACAAAAATTCGTAAGGAATGTACTTAATAGGTACGATACTGAATTAACAACAATCATTTCTTTAGCAGGAACAACGTCCAACGAAACTGCAGCAAAGACCAGTCCAGGAAGTTGACGAGGAATTAGAAGAAGAGGAGAAGGAGGAACCTGACCGCCTGTCCCAGCTGCTGCAGCAGTCCAAATTCAACTGCGTGAACAAGCAGACTGGTTACTACGCGGACGAGGAGCTCAACTGCGAAGTGTTCCACTACTGCCAGGACAATGTCAAGCACTCTTGGGTCTGCCCCGACGGATTCTCCTTCCACCAGGTATTTAGTTTTATTGATCTAGCTAGAACATGAATCTTAGTCGACTTCGAAATCTTTACAGGTTAAGAATAGCTTTAGAAACTCAACGTCTTTAGACCTTTAGAATATGTAAAAATAATATGACAGTCTCTGTATAATTAATTACATAAATATTCAGTAGATTTGAAGGATAATTTTATGTTTTTTTCCATTTCCACTTACAGGTACACTTAATCTGCATGCCGCCGACACACGACAACATCTGCCAGAAATCTTCAAAGTACCACTTCGTGAACGAGTACCTTTACCGACCTGTAAACGAGGAGGAGGTCCAGAGGAAACCCAACGTGTCCCTCAAGTACTCCGACAGATACTACCCCGCTGAGGTCTACAGGGACGACAGATACGAACAAGAAGAAGAAGAAGAGGTAGGAATGATAATTTAAATTTACTAAGAGCTGATTTCCAATACCAGATAATTTTATAACATAACATAACATCACGCCTTTTATCCCCGAAGGGGTAGGCAGAGGTGTACATTATGCCACTGTATGTAACACCCACTTTTCACTATTTATGTTATGAGTCCCATGTAATAGGGGGTGAGCCTATTGCCATATACCGGGCACAGTTCCAGACTCCGTGCTAATACTGACATTTTTTAAAAACCCAGTAATACTTTGCCCGACCCGAGAATCGAACCCGAGTCCCCTTGCCCGGCAGTCGCACTTGCGACCACTCGGCCAACGAGGCAGATAATTTTATCGGAGGAATAATTTTGAATATTTACAGTTATTCTACACAAACACTGTCAGATGTTCATATTATTCTAACCATATAGTGTATAAAAGCTAAATGTGATTGAAAAATCAGTCCTAAACTCCTAAAGTAATAAAAGAAGACATTTCTGTAAAAGTTTGAATGTTGAGCCTTAGTTCGTTTCTGCAGTATATATTTCTAATTGTTATTTAAATTTCCAGGAGGAACAGCCCCGCCGTCCTCCCGCACCAGTACAGCTGCAGGCGCGTCCAGTACAGAGGCCGCAGCCACAGCCTCAAGTGTTCCGCTCCGCAGAGGAAGTCAATATCCCATTGGTCCAGAGGCGCCCTCAGCGTCCATACGACTTCGACTTCTAAAATCTCTCTACTAAGCCCATTGGCTATAAGCTCCTACCTTTTTCCATAATCTACTGGATATGCCATTTCTATTCAGTGGTTTATGACTTTTGAGTAGAAAAAAGATTTTTAATTTAATTCGTAGTCATCCTAAAATCTCACGATTTTCTGTTTGATGACTTAAATTCTTTAAAAAATCTCAAGTTGCGCCCATTTTACTCTTGTCATGAGCCAAGTATGAACAAAATGGTTGAAATTATCTTAATGTGTTTTGTCAATTAAACTGACCGACACACTATTGTAGGTACCTACCATGTACCATCATCACATTGGTATATCTTATAAGGTTAAGTTTTAATTAAAACTTATTTATGTTTCTGTACAATAAGTCACAAATTAGTTCATAAGCTAGTCTTTGTGTAAACTAATATGTTTAAGTATAACAAAAATGAAAATAAAGCGTTTTTGTTTAATTTTCTCTTCCTTTAATACACCATCAAATTCTTGTAAGATCAATTGTATATCTCGATCAAAAATAATAATAGTTTTCTTCGTCTTTTTCTAAAGGTTTATTTGTACCTGAAACATATCAAAAATAAATAAGCATCCTTTTAATACGTACATACCTACGTCGATCATTGTTTTTATTAATTTACTAGTTTCTACTCGCGTCTTCGTTCCTGTTCACGTAGGATTTTCGGGAAATCCTTAGATATAAGTATTCGTAACAGTACAGTTTGACTGTAGGTACAGTTAAATCGTAAGGTGTGTAGAGCAAACAGTTGAACTGAAGGCGTGTAGCCTGTATGGACACGTCTATGCTACAGGAAACCACACAATGTAACTTTTATCTAACCTAGATACCAACTTAAAAGAAACCACGTGGCAGAGGCCGCAAGCGGAAAAATTGCAATTATAGGTAACTAGCTTTTACCCGCGGCTTCGCTCGCGTCACAAAAGGATAAAAAGTAGCCTGTGACATATACCAATACTCACAGCGCCATCTATATCAATACTTTTGTTTTCCCTCGGGAATACCAAAATTTTCCGGGATAAAAAGTACCCTATTATTTAATGCGGACTTCTAACTTTACGTCTGCAAAAATTCAAAGCAATCGGTTTAGTAGTTACGGCGTGAAAGCGGAACAAACAAACAAACAAACAAACTCACTTTCTGATTTATAATATTAGTAAGGAGTAAGGACTAGTAAGGATAAAACAATAGGTACCTACCTGTCCTACAATTATTACCCGTGACACAGGTCAAGCAATTGCAATTGGACTGACACAATGGCCCTTGGTCCTTTAGACGGGTTTCTATCTTCCGCAATTGGTCGTCTAAAAATTTTTTATATTCATCTTCTGGCATGCGTCGTTCGCGTTTCGTTTTTTTGGCATTTGGTGTATTACACTTTTTGCAACCTCCAGTACATGGCATATCAGCCTGTTCCGCTTGTTCATTAGTAGGACAACCAGGTCGCTTCCCCCGTCCGCAAGAAGCTTGTGGCGGTGGTGGTGACTCGTCTTCGCATTTATTAAGTGATTCCTTTGAATGCTTACATTCATTAGGGTTTGTGCAGAATCTATGGTCATTAGGTTCCATATTCAAACTCAATCCTAATTTACGTTTTCCGCATGCGTTTCCGTTTTCGTTTTCGTTTCCGTTTCCGTTTTCGTTTCCGTTTTCGTATCCGTTTTCGTTTTTATTACAATTATCTGGTTCATCTGTACAATTCTTACAACAAGTCTTACAAGGTCCGCCATTGTTTGATGAAAGCAATCCCATAACGTTGCGATCATGCAGATTCCCAGAAGATTCTCTATCTAAAGAACATTCGCTTATCTCAGGTTCTATGTCAGCATCATAAGGTTCAGAAAGTGACTGGAAATCCCGAGATAAGCAACATGATTTATTATGAGATTCAGGTGTATAATGAGGCTGTACACCTTCAGAATTATGTAAACAACAAGGAGTGAAAAGGTCATCGTCATTTTCTTCGGGTTCTGGAAAGCATACAGGACAACGTACAGGCGGGCGTGGTGGTGGCGGGCATGATGGTGGTGGGCATGGTGGTGGCGGGCATGGTGGTGGCGGGCGTGGTGGTGGCGGGCATGATGGTGGTGGGCATGGTGGTGGCGGGCATGGTGGTGGTGGACATGGTGGGTTATTTCCATTTCCATTTGGCGCATCACAAGTGCACTGTTTATTATCTTTCGCAGCCTCGAGCTCTTCTTGACAAACCTGTTCGTAATACTGTTTAGTATAAATCCAAGCTTGTTCAATAATTTCTCGCAAATATTTGAGCAATTCCTTTGCATAACAACATGCTAGTTGTTGCGTGCAATGTGGACATGCGTTCTTGTGGGAATACATAATATTTTGAAGATATGTTTTTGCCAATTCGAACAGAGACTCTTTACAGCAATCCTCATGGTTATTGTTTGCTTTTGCAGTTGGGCATTTCTGACATGGCGGCTTGGGATCTGGACATGGCGGCTCAGGCATGCAACATGGCTGTTCATCATTCTGAGAACGTTGCTCAGCATTAGGACATGATGGTGTAGCGTTGGGACATTTCGGAGTAGCTTTGGGACATTTCGGAGTAGCATTGGGACATGTCGGTTTAATATTGGGACATTTCGGTGGAGCATTAGGACATTTCGGTGTACCATTGGGACATGTCGGAGTAGTATTGGGACATTTCGGTTTAATATTAGGACATTTCGGAGTAGCATTGGGACATGTTGGTGTAGTATTCGAACATGCCGGTGAAGCAGAGGTGGCGGCTTTTTAAATTTGGAACTTAGCCATGACGATTTATTATTTTGAGGCTTATCATCAGGACATGGCGACGGCTCGGTCGGACAAGGCGGTTGATCATTTGAATGCAGTTGTTTACAACGTGGACATACTAGTTTTGGGTTACAACGTTCACAATGGCTTCTGTGGTTAAAAACAAGTGAATATAGGTATTCCATAGCCTGTTCCAACAGGGTTCGCTGGCAAGGAGGATGTTGTTTTTGGGCTTTTTGGTTTGGAGTATTTGAACATGTTGGACAACAATTACAAGTACTATCTGTATTATAGTTTGATACATTAGTAATGCCAATGTTTATATCATTATCCATATAATGACCACAGGTTGTGTTTGGTATGTCATGATCACACGTAGGCCATTCAGATCCCCTATACATTCCGTGAGTTCTATGTTCAGCACATATGTCTTCAAAATTATAATTATTGATTACACGTTCATTTGAATCTCCTTTCTTCTTTTCTGTGTGTCCTGTAAAAAGTTCTAATTAAATTAAGATGGCAAAGCAACATCCATACATAAATACATAGGTACATAACTTTACGCCTGTCTTCTATGGTAGCCAAAGACTATGGAACGCCAATTGCTACGATTCCTACATACCTCTTTCGCTTCATTAACAGCTCGTCGGTTAAGGGTACTTTTATTTGTTAAGGGTAAAGGGATCTTTAATATATCGTCAATCTGGTCAGTATATGTTCGTCTAGGGCGCCCGCTACCGACGGCCCCATCCCCATTCATATTCACTCTGTATACTTCTTTTGTTACTCTACTTTTATCCACCCTACATATCTCAACCAGCGTCACATTCCTATTCCATCATTTTTTTGCTGCATATTATTTTACTCGACATTACAGAGTGTAAGTCTTCAAAGTTTTCAAAGTCTCGAACACAGGCGTAAGGTTGCATCATCGCTTACCACAAGGCGAGATAGTGGTCAAACGTCGGCCAATTTTTTAAACGCACTTCCAATTTTTTTTTGTAGGCGCACCCACGGCACTTGGGAAAATGCAAGTGGGGCAACTTTTTTTAAAAATAAACTGGCGCAATGTCTGAGTGACTGAGAACTGACTGAGAGTACAGTTCGTGTCCCGCACCGGACAAAAAATGCTAATGGGTTTTGCTGTTTAAAATGACAATTATTATCCTGAGGCCACGAAATGCAGCAGTGTTATAATCTCCGCCCAGTCGTACAGACTGCCGTCCTATCGGATAAAAAAAGTGAGGGATAGATAGAGTGCAGCTAAAAGCATCCCTTTGATGTGCACACAGTTATCTATATCTAATATCTTCTGCGTAGTGAGCTAGTCTAGCTACACAGACCGGGTACTATGGACGAATCCAATTGGGAGACTTTATTTATGTAAAAATAAATCGTAAAAGTGTTAAACCATACAAAAACAAATAGGTAGGTACTTACCAGAATGCGTTCCATGGTACATTGCCTTTGGGTCGGCCGATGTGGCCGGATGCGTGTGCTTCATCCAGAAAGGTAGATCAGCAAGTTTTTAATTAAACTTCAACTTCTTGAATTTTTCAACTATCTGATATACCACATGGGTATACTTTTGTTTTAATTCTTTATAGTCAAGTAAGGTGTGTTATATTATAATTTATTTAGAGTAACGCTATAGCACTCAGTCTTTTTATCATATTCATAATCATATTTACTGCTTAGTACACCATCGATGTTTGTCTCATTTGCTCGGAAGTCTTTATTTGCTATCACAATTTTCTTTTTTTTCTAGTTTAGGTAATTAATGGCTTGCAATTTATTCTTTCTTGCTATCATTGAAATCTAAGACGCGACTAGTTTTTAAGGGGATTTTCTTTTCATCCGACGAGGTCACTGCAAAGAATCAGGCTCTCTTAAGTCACGACCAAGAACTCACTCAATACCTGTACAATACCTACACAATACTTACTAAATATTTTTTTGATAAGCAAAAGGAAAAGGGCCTTTAATTTTGGGTGCTAAATTTACACGTTGTCTATAGTATGATACGAGAACATTGGTAACTCGTTGCTTACTTACACATATAGATAAATACGTAATTAATATAATAGACTTACGATAGTCGGCAATCCGCATAACGATCCGAGACATGGTTACAAATAACATTTTGATTTTAATTAAAAATAATCTCAAATTGTTAATAGGAAGGCAATCGTTTCACTTTATATCTGAAGGCGTCTAAAAAATTATTAATTGATAATAATATATACCTACTTCTGATAATGAAAAAAATGTTAGCAGGTACTTCTAACTACGGTAGTACCTACGTACATCAAGGACTGTAAGAACTTTACACACGGTTTATCATAAGTTTAGATCAGATAACCATTAAAAATGAGCTTCGAAATACTGAAAAACCAACGAGTGGATACAGATAGCTCCAAAAAGCAGTAGCTCAGTTTGAGCCACTAAACCTCTGCACCTTTCATAAAGATTGATATCTTTATGATTCCTGGCTAAAGAGCTTCCTGCATGATGAAACCTTTGGCGCCTAAGTCGCGTATGAAACTGGTTCTGGCATTTATGGTTCTGGTATTTGCTTAAATTGAAGGTTGCTGAAACATCTTGATGAATTTAAGGCATTGTAATAAGCTTTTTTCTGATATTGGTAACCTATCTTGGTAATAATGTGACAATTTTGTTATTTTGCTGTCAGCATGCTGTCAATATCAAACAGCTTTGAGGATTATGCTGAGGTTTTACTTTTTGTTTGGGTCAAGATTGCGTTCTTTTGTCGCTTTTTGTACTTGTCCTCAATCCAGGACTTGAATACCAGATTCTCAATTTACCTAATGGAATGGAGACGGTTAACCCTTCAGAACTTTTTTAAGTATCGAAAAATTTATTCTCCACGCTGATATTCTCTTTTTCTCCGCTATTCTAAGAGAATGAAGATAAAACTTCCTATTTTACCGAATTTAGTAAAATAAGAAAACAAAAAGACTGCCTCGTTGACCGACTGGTCGCAAGTGCGATTGCCGGGTAAAAGTTCTCGGGTTCACGAGTCTGGAATTGTGCCCAGTATATGGCAATATGGCCCTATTACATGGGACTCATAACATATAGTGAAAAGTGGGTGTTACATTGTACAGTGGCATTAAGTGCAGTTACATTGTGCACCTCTGCCTACCCCTTCGGGGATAAAAGGCGTGATGTTATGTTATGTGGTTATCAAATCGACCAAAACCAAGTACAATTAAGAAAAAAGATTGTTGATTATAAAAGATTTTTATTTACTAAAAAGACTTTGTGTACAAATTCTCGCTAGAATAACTGTAACTGTATTGTCAAATAATTGGCATTAGTGACAGTGACATACGTCAAACAACTGTTTTGATTGTGCTTGTGGTTTAAAAATGCACAAAATGTAATGTAAAGTACATATAAATGAATAAACGAGAACTTTTTACTATAAAATAATCAGTGAAATATTTACAAGCATATAGTTGAACTTGCAGTAGTAAGTCTGAAGTAATTGTAGAAAGATAAGCTTATCAGTTGAGTTTTCAGTGTAAAGTACAATGAATGCTTCAGAATACAAGAAATATCATGAGTCCTTCATGCAGAATAACCATGGTTCAACGGCAGTCCACACCTGTGCCTGTATATTCTTCACTGTGCAATGCGCCGCCTATTTAGCCATCAAATCAAGATTTCCGCGATGCTGTCAATTCGCCTATGAATACATTGTCATGGTACTACCCATGATCATAGCACACACCTTACTAGCGGAATATATATACGAATTAAACCTTATAATCTTCACTATATTAATAATCAATCTGTTGTTGTATCACCAAAATGTAGTAAAAAAATTCATGCAAAAAAATGTATTTCCAAACAATAGAGTAGCTTTGATATCTTGTCTCAGGGGACTAACATACGTTATTACGGGATTGTGTATATTAGCCGTTGACTTCCAAGATTTCCCTAGATATTTAGCCAAAACAGAAAGATTTGGGTTCAGTTTAATGGATACTGGAGTAGGCTTATTTGTTATTATGAGTGGAGTTGTACACAAAGACTTACGGTCTCAAAAACTTGCAGATATTTTGAAAGGAAATTTGAAAATAATATCTATATTAGTAATACTGGGTGTAGGCAGGTATGTGTCTGTAAAACAACTGAATTATCAGGAACATATTACTGAGTATGGTGTGCATTGGAACTTTTTCTTCACAATAGCTGTTTGTAAAGTTCTTTCAACTATTGTATTATATTTTTCTAACAATGCAGTGTTACTTTGTATTCTATCATTAGTTGTTCATGAACTTGCACTGTACATTGGCCTACAGGACTGGGTGTTTGGCGACACTCCTAGAAATTCTCTTGTATCAGCAAATCGAGAAGGAATTTCCTCTTGTTTAGGATATGTATCTATTTATCTATTTGGTGTTTGTATAAAAAATATATTACTAGACAGAAATGTTACAAAATATCACACACAAATAAAGTTAGTATTAGGAACAGTATTAATGTGGTTTTTAACATGTTTTATACATATGATTCGACCAGCGTCAAGGACTTTAGCAAACGCTGGTTATTGCATTTACATAGATACTCTTTTGATAACTATGTCTGCTTTTTTATATTTTATTACTGTATTAGTTGAGAGCAAAGAAAATGGTTTCAAAGTGCCTATAATTTTATCTCACATAAATACTAATGGATTATCATATTTTCTAATAGCCAACCTGTTAACAGGAGCTGTGAACTTATCAATGAGAACTTTGTTAGTGCCTAGTTATGTTACTTTTATGATTTTAAATATTCATATGATAATATCTTCAACTGTTGTAGTTTATCTAAAAGCATTGGGTTTAAGAATATAATTAGACTAGCTTCTGCGGTTCTGCCAGCGGCAAGCGCGTTCTCATTGGTATAAAGTGTGAATGCGTTAATCTACCTCCGTTCCAAATTTCATCTGGATCCCTTCAATAGTTTTTAAGCGAAGGCATAACAAACTTTCGCATTTATAATAAGTAGGGTACTACAGAGCACTAATTTTACAACTTGGTTTGATTTAAAATAATAGGGTGGTTTCCTAAACCTTATTTCAATGTCCGTCTTGTAGATTAATTTAAAACATTAGACAAGTATTTTTTCTTTTCTCACAAAATTATATAGTTTCGACGATATATGAAAAAATGTAATGTCGTGTGACCTTTTTATCTAAGTATTATAACTTTATACAAGAAAATAAAAAATATGTATCTAATATAATATTTTTTTATATTTTCTAACAGACAGGGTAATAACATTTTTAATTTTCCTAATCTGGCAACTACCCTATTGTCTTACGTTTGCCATTCAATTTAAACTATGATAGGAGGATTTATGAAAAAAAGCCATTTGACAGAAGGCATTTTCATATATTCTCTATAAATATTATATTGCAATTAATTACATTTAGTAAGATACAGACAAACAGCATACAGTTTTACATGTAAATAAATAACAAACAAACATTAACATTTCTAAAAAAATAATTTTTGTGAGTCAAATTAATTAAATTAAAAAGACACTGGTGTTGTTTGTGGTGCTAGTCAAATAGTTTTTCATTGAGTCAATTAACTCGTCGAGTACCGGTTTTATAGACACAATTAAAGAACAATAGGTCGCGGTCACCGGTGACCGCTCGGTGTTTGACAGATTAAATAGAATTTTTTTAATATATATAGCAATATAATATCTTTAATATATCTGTGATGTAAATATACTTAGGTGTATATTTGTATGAAATTAATGCATCGCATCAATGACCAATTGTAATTGTAATGTTTTTTAAATTCTTATGTTTGTAATATTTGTCATGTTAAGTAAAGACCTACGTAAGGTACAAATATTACGGTGCGCATATCACTGGCTGTCAGAGGTCTCACTACAAGTTTGTTTTACATGTAAAGTAATCGAATCGCTGTGATTGGCCGGCTTCAATGAATCAACCAATCGGAGCACCAAAACCGGTCTCGTTGCGATTAATTTTATCGTAAGACAAAGTTGTATTAAACTGTCAAACACCAAGCGGTCACCGGTGACCGCGACCTATTGTTCTTTAACTCGTCGAGTACCGGTTTTATAGACACAATTAAAGAACAATAGGTCGCGGTCACCGGTGACCGCTTGGTGTTTGACAGTTTAATTGTGTCTATAAAACCGGTACTCGACGAGTTAAGGCCTCAGAGGGCTTAGTACGAATTCGTTTTACGTTTAAAATAATGGAAACGTAACCGCGTTATTGTATTGGTTGGTTCATTGAAACCCTCTGTTCAGAAAATTAAAATAAAACTTAAAAACACAGAATTTATGAAATACGTAATTGGGTACTTCCCTCAAAACTAAATTATTTCGACTGTTCAATACAATAAAATATTTAAAAAAACACACCTTCTTAATTGATTTTATGACCAACGTAATTTTAGTATTTTTCCAACAATTTTTAAAGAAATAAGTATACTGTTGGACGCTAAAAACTTGACGTCACAATTACACTATCTCGAATTTTTAATATACTGTCGTTTTTGATCGTACAAAAAAAAAGTATTGAATTTGACTAGTTGGCAAGTACCCAATTGTGACTTATTATTATTATATGTCAATAACTTTAAGTACATACGGCTACACATCGACATCGACATAACCAGTATAAACTAAACGTTAGATGTGCGGAAAAATGATGCGACGCGACACCAGGATAAACTGGTTTTGTATAGATTGATGTGTGGCCGTGTGTACATGATAAAAAATTATTATAATTTATTTATTCACATTCCATATTGTTCAAAGTTTTTATATTTTTTATATAAAATAAATATACAATTAAATGTTGCTACTACAGTCTTTCATTTTAATTTAGCCAGCGCCACAACATGATATAAATTTCACTTATTACAGATGGCAGTTAGCTTCGGGTCAATTTATACTAGTGGATCGAAGCGTAAGTGAATCTAATTTAATTACATAGCATATTCCATCATATCTCTACAGTATAAAGCACATATCAGCTTACAAACAACCATACGTGTTTTGAAATCTCTGAAGTACATATTTACGTAATGTGTGTCCTAATACAAATTGACCCTTATTTATTTGGCGTTAGGTACCTATAGGTCCTTATACAATACTGAAATATTTTTACTTCAGTTTATCAGGCAGTGGTAATTCTAATATTGTCTTATATACGCAATAGATAGGTATTTAAATAACTAGCTAACTGGCTAGCTTGTTTATACATAGTGTTCCTTTAATTGAACTTAATAAGTAACTGGTTATATAGGGTGATTATTAAAAAGTAAATTAGTAAGTTGTTATTCTAGTGCTACCCACAATACATATCTAAATGTTTTTTTAAAGATTTTTATCGTTTAAAAATCTGAATACCCGCAATTTGAGTTAAATACACGTATTGAATGAGCATATACGTACATTGTTGTACATTATAATTGTCTATTTTCAATAATATTATTTAGTACTTGTCATGTAAAATCCCTGTTTTACTGTTACAAGATTGCTTTAAAAGGCTTTCTGCAAATAGAAGATGTTAAATTCATTTACATATTGGCATTAAATGATGTAATATATTTGGTGTTCCCTGTTAAAACACTTAATTCAAATCATTGTTAATATTCTTTTTAAAAGATTGATAGGACTTTAGCAAACATTTAGTACTGAATATGTAATTAAAGTACCTACCTACATAGATATATCTGAAATTGTAATTTAAGTTCACTTTAGAATAAAGTTCGATGGGGTTGTCATATCCCTAATGGATAAAAATTCCAATACATTTATAAAATAAATAAATAAAAATTAAAAATAAGTACTGAATATCGTACCTTTTTAAAATCTACCAAATGCAGTCAGCCTGGTAACACAAATTAAATAAAAATGTCAATTTAATATCTATGTTATTGTACTCTGTTAGTAATTAAAGCTTTAAAATTAAAATATATTTTGTTATTAAGTACTGATACAATTTCGTTCAAATCAATTCCGTAGTTCAGTGTTCCCCAAACTCTTTTATAGCGACAAAGTAATTCTTTGCCTTTTTCTAATATACCCTCTTTTATAGCGACAAAGTAATTCTTTGCCTTTTTCTAATATACCCTCTTTTATAGCGACAAAGTAATTCTTTGCCTTTTTCTAATATACCTATCTTATTTTATTTTTTTTGCATAGGCCTTTGCAGAATTTCTTCGGTAACAAATTGAAAATTGCAATACTGTTTGATCATTGTAATTGGGTAGTTAACTGGGTCAAAAATAAATTATTTTGATTTTTCAGTCCAATTAAATATTGAAAAATAGTTACACTTTCATTCATTGATTTGCCGATATACTTAATTTTCGATTTATTCTTGCATTTACTTCAGATATAAGTGTGCTATTTGACGCGAAAATATGATGACGTCATAAGCTAGTATTTCGTACAAAATTCATAGAACAGTATCGTTTTTGACGTTTCGATAATTGTATTGAATTTGACTAGTTGTCAACTACCGTATTATCTAATATTAGTCATTGTTCTGTTCTGTTTTATTATTGTTATGGTAGAAATAGTGAGAACAACAATTTTTTTAGTACTCAAGTTAGAGATAAACTCGTTATGATAATAGAGATTGAATTCAAAGTATCTTATATTTACAAATGGGGTTCTTTTCTTGGCACCCAAACGCTAGTTTTTTTATTTATCGGTATAATACTTAGCAAAATTTCTCATTACAAGGGCCGATTTTTCAATCAATAGATTTCTATTTCTAAAGAAACGATTCTTAATTGTAGAATAAAATTGACATTTGACAGTATGGAAGAATTGTCAAATATTTAAAGTTATTATTATCCTCTGATAAAATTTATCTGGCGTTGGAAAAATCGGCCCTTAGATACCTATCTCTACTAGTAAATAGTTAATTTTATCATTATTTAACACAATACATATTTTTTTAAATAAATGCGTTACCTATTTAATTCCAATTCTAACATCGACGGGGTTACGTTTCATAATTAGTTAAAGCACAGCCAATTCAATTTGGGCCGAGAATTTCTAAATAATTATCATACTATGTAAATGCACATATAAAGTCAATTGGAGAATTAAATAAAAACACATAGGTAACAATAATTATAACTAAATTAACACACAATATAATTTTGTATACCTATTAATAAAAATAAAACATTTCATAAAGGGAGCACGAGGGTTTCATCACACAGCGACAAGAACTCAACGTCTTTATAAAATCAATTAAAATATTATTTCGAAAAATAAAATAAATACAAATCATTGTACAGAGTTTAAGTAGATACTCTAAAACTAGGTCATAAAGTAAATAAACAATCTAATTAACGGCATTTTTTCATGCCCCTTACCCAATTTTATTTACTGGGTGAATGCTAATCTGGGGTTGTTAAAATAGGTCATGTTTTTGTCAATTCCATAGTCAATTTAACAATCAATTCACTGGTTTCACAAGAGACTTATAGTTTCCCATTTCAATTCAATAGATACTTAGGTACCTAAATAAGATTATGTTTTTGACAAATTGCTGCATAGACGTTCAATTTAGGCTAATATTAGGCATAGTTATATACAATAACTAATTATTTGGACTTACCTTGCCAATAAAATCTAGTATCTACTAATAAACAGTAGATTTAAGTGTCCGGCTGAATTAATATCAGCCAACTTATATTACGACTGAGTAATTGAGTATACATTACAAATTGGCACTTATTAACACTGGGAAAAGTGCTAAAGTCTGCTAAATTCGTTGTAGTAATGGAGACATATCGCCACTTTTAGCTCCCAATGTGGACTTTCTGTGACAAAGTCTGGCAACACAGAACACTAGGCAGTACAAAAGCAGTATTACCAGCATAGATAAATAGAGAATTAAGCAGGGAAACCTCGTTGGCGACCAAAATACAGTATATCTCATGTTTTGTTGGTTGTTTTCTGAAAGAAAAAAAAATGTCTATTTATTATTATGTCTATTTATTATTCGGATTGGAATAAGCCGGTACGAGCAGACGGATCACCTGATGGTAAGCAATCGGCGCCGCCCATGGACATCCGAAACACCAGGGGTGTTACAAGTGCGACACCGGCCTTTTGGGGATTAGGAATTTGAGGATTACTGGGGTTTGAGGAGGAGTAATTGGGCCTCGGTAACCTCACTCACACGACGCAACACAACGCAAATGTTGTTTCACGTTGTTTTTTTGTGAGGTCGTGGTATCACTCCGATCGAGCCGGCTCATTTGTGCCGAAGTATTACTCTCCCTTACTTAAATGTTGGTACATTTGATTTTTGATTCAGGTAAAGTAGGTATTAACGACTTTTTCGATAATTCTCAAGCAAAGAATAAATAGCAGAGTTGGGACACAAGCTGAAAGGAATTATAAGAGTAAGTAGACTTTACCTAGAACAGCAGCACCATACCCAATGGAGCTGGTGCCCATCCTATATGAGCAGGTTGGCACGAACACCTCATACAGAGACTCCTCATCGAAGGATATATTAAGGGTTGGATTCGGTCCATTTAACCAAACCGTCTTCCTGTGACCAAGGTTCTTATTCTGCTTCACATACTTCGACTCATGGTCGTGAGCGCAGAAAAATATGTTAGGGTTTATAGCTTTCATTATCTGAAAGAGAATTTTATTATTTTTGGTATGGATATTTAAGAGAGATTTTATTTGTTAAAAATTAAAATCCGTCTTTGGAATGGTGTGTATTTTTTGTACCTATATTGTTCGCAACAAAGTTTACGGTTCGCCTGATTGTAAGTGGACAGCTTGCAACACCAGATGTATTACAAATGTGTTGCGGACCATGTAGAAAACTATCTAATTGCTGGTTCATCAAGCACAATGGTAAAGTGATATTGGAGCTTTAAAATTAGTCGCAGTAACAGCCAAGCTTATAAAATAAGAGACACTTTTCAGTACGAAAATTGTATAAAAATGTTTAGTAGTTACCTGGTATGCAAACATAGATTTCTCAGTAACTGGATAGTGAGACACAGCAATCTTGAAGTTCATCTCCGAGCCAGGAATCTCATCAGCCTTTTGTGGGAATGTATAAGTAATGGCATTTACTTTGTAAAATGAGATATTGGAATATACTACAATGGACGGCTGTTTGAACACTTTTTCAAATTCTTCTATTTTATCGTAACGGATTGGTTCGTTCTCACCGCCAATGTCGTTGTCACCTGGTATCCAGACTTGCTGAAATTTTAAGTATTTTTGGTTACTTAATCAACTGTGTAGGTAATCAGGCTTTGTAGGTGAACCCATTAGGACTAAGACAATGGGATTCAACTGTATAATAGCCTTCTGCGAATCTATAGTTCCAAACACAAGATCAACGAGATGCCATTTTTTTTAAAGGTGGAAAATCATCTATTGAGCTCCTACCGAGGCGGAAGGGAGTGTCAGACTCTTACTGACTAAAAACCACCCCATTCCTACTCCTGCACTTCGGAGCCAGAGCCCCGTTACCGTTAAGTTCTCCACGGCAACAAGATGCCATAAACTCAAAGATAAACAAATGTTGTTGTTTTAAGTAGGTACATACATTAATACCCCTCTAACAACAAAAACCATTTTCTATACCTATCAAAATATTGCAGTATGAAATTATTACGTAAGAATAGATTTTGTAAGGGGTTAAAAAAACAAATAGTAATTTACCACGGCAGGATAGTCCCATTCAAATATACTAGCCAGTCTCTTGACATAGCCATGGAACTGTGGCATGGTAGCAATGGAGCCTTCATCCATCAGGTCACCTAGGTACACCAGGATATCCGGCTTCAAGTACTCCACTACCACTTTGAATGTTGACCTCAGGTAACTGGAAGTAGACAGATTAAAACGAAATATATCAAAGTTACAACATTTATATCAATTATCTATAGTTAGGACTTTTGAAATGTCAAAAATTGAATTGTCTGTCTGTCCGTCTGTTAGTAAAGCTAGGCGTAATATACAGGGTTACAGGTTAAGTCGACCTAAATCCTTTAAAAGGTGGTAGCATGCATCATTCCTGACCGATTTGACTAAGAAACTCCATATCCCAAACTTAACAGTTCTCAAGATTACTGAATTACTTTTATATTTGTATAAAGCTGAAGAGTTGTTTTTATATTTATTTGTTTGATAGTGCTAATCTCTGTTTGAATTGTACAATTATTTTTGTGTCGGATAGTCCATTTATCGAGAAAGGCTATAGGCTTAAAATATAACGCTATAACCAATAGGAGCTCAACAGTGAGTAAAGTCGCACGGGAGTAACTAGTTTTGTAATAGAAAAAGAAGCTACAAAAATTTAATAAAATATGTAAGATTAAATCTTTAAATCCCTAGTCAAAACTCAGACATTTCTTCAACAGATAAGCATGTAATATTACGCAATTTTATCTTAGATAAATCCAAAAGACATGTTGATAACATTACTTTCGCAACTTGTTAACACAATAAGAATTGGGAAAACCAAGTCATTTTAAACTTACCGATCACTGTCCCAATTAAAGAGGTAACTTAAAGGAGGTGGGACGGCTTCATCTCCTTGAATTTGAGGATCAGCTATGAACAAAATTTTTTTACAAGTTGCGTCATGGTCATTGCATTCCAATTCTGTCCAGTACTGTTGCTGTATGATGTAGACAAACCATTCGCAATAGATAACAGCCCCAATAAAGGCCGCTATCACGTATTTCACTGTCGTACTGAAATAAAAAACAAAGTTTAATGTTACTTCTTGTGTAACTATGAATGGAGTTTCTAAATAATTTTCGCTGCTTTATTTCACATTCACAAAACGACCCTTACCTTCGCCTTAAATACATATTTTGAATACAAAATAATTATTTACTTCACTTTTTGATTTTGTGATAGAGTTGTATGTATTGTGTTTACATCTAGTTATTAGGAATTCGTAATAGGTATTATAACCGACTTTTGATACTCGTATTTTCTAAAAAGGTTTACAATATTAGGTTAACACGTACTAGTCAAATAGATACGTCATTCCCGCCTGCGATTCGCATTATTTATTTAATTTTTAACCCGACATTTAATAACAGTTTCGAATTCGAGTAGAAATTTAAATTAGATTACTAATATTTGACACACATTGCAGTAGGTAATATATGGTGCTAAACGATATACTCATTCAATAATGGAAATATTAAGAAGTGTAGTGTAACATCTCTATATTTTTTATCATCACAAATCACAAATCCAAAATACATCGAAACTATTTGCAACATAAAAGTCAAAACAATTCAAGACTTTTCGTTGTACGCAAATGCAAACCATAAACCATACCACCTAAGAACCAAAAATACAACTTATTTTCCTAATTAATTAATAATCGTATTATTCAACATCTGACGTAAAATACTATACGTTATACAGTTACTAGTTAAACACGTAACAGAAAACCTTAGTTTTTTCATGTTTTACTGAAGACAGAGTTTTATGCTTTTTGGAACGGAACGTACCTATTTCATGATTGTTGACATTAGTTCGGGTGCATTCATTTATTAACTAAAAATCAAGAAATTATTTGTGAGAATTTTCGTTCATTGCTTTATTAAAAATATTGAATTAGTGTAAACATAATCTTTTGAATATTTTCTCGAAAATAAATATATTTATTCATTTTTCTTTTAGATTTAAAATAGAATAACTAAGAATTTTGACGGTTTCATTGTGAAAAATAAAACATGAATGCATCTCTATTGCGGCGATTTGACAGGTCAGCTTCGAGCCACTTTTTAGCTTTCTGAGTAGCGTATTTTCATTTTATTTTGTGTTATCCTTTCATTTACGCGTAATAAATAACATGTATGTAGTTGTAACAGTAGCGTGATTAGTTAATTAGACTATTTGTAAGTGCACTTACAGTGTTACATAAACGGTAGAGGGCTAATCGTTTCGGCAATCCCGATGCATATAACTACATAGTACGTCAGTGAACGAATGGTGGCATTAAGATAATGGATGTGGATGCTCCTAACATATTAAAAAGGTGCAGTAGTGCACCGTTAATAAATGAGGCAGCCACTACGGCGGCCACTTCGCCCACGACGAGCGTAGCACCCAGGTAAAGTAATATGTGCAGAACACGCCTCCTACGGCTCCGATATGGTTGTTGCTACGCTGCTTACCTATTTTTGACAGCTGCTGAGGTCGCCAGTGGGTGCTGTGCCCGTATTTAGCGATGTTTGTGCATTATTCACAGTGTATACTGTTAATGTTATCATTACTAGTTGATTGTATATTGTTATGGTAAAAGTGCAGTAGCTTGGCGTCATTTTTCAGTGTTGAGTTGCGGTATGTTGACAATGTGTAAGTACTGCAGTTAGTGCTGAGCTATTGACTTGACTCTGTGTTCAATATTTTGTGTTACATTATTTTTTACATACATTTCCTTATATTGCTTTTGGTAATTAGTGAATCTTATATGTTGCTGTTGTCATGCTTTATTAATTAGTTAATTTTGTGGTAGGGAGTCTTAAAAAGCTGTTCTTAGTTTCGAATTGGTGAGTTGTGGTTTTGGAGTAATATGTAAAGTGACATTATAATGTACCTAATGTGCATAAAATACCTCTTAGAATGTGGCCACATTAGTAAAGAAACTAAAAACAAATGATTCACAATATTATGAAGTTACTCATTCCAATGCCCATTTATGATACTAATTAAAATGCACTTTAAGTCATCAACACCTACATGCAGTGTCTTCCTTGCTGAGATAGGTACAGGTTTTTATTGATTAATGTCTGTAATGTAATTAACTCATTTGATGAGGTAATTTAATAAATACCTGGCTAGACATTCAATTTTTAATTTCTTTCTAGTAAATACCTGACCATCAGAAGTTACCATAAGAAGTTTTTTCAAATACATATGTAGTTTTTTAGTAGTAGTCAGTGAGCATTTTTACTTTTATTTTCTTTTCAACTCAAAAACTGCTTCACCAATTTTAACAAAATACAGTATATAATACAGCGTAGTATAGGTAAGTATTGTGTAATGGCAAATTTTGATCATTATTACCAGTCATAATGTAAAATCATCATTTATTCTATGAATGTCTATCTTGCTATGATGTTATCAGAATAAATTTTGATAAATATAAAACTTTATGATAAATTGTTTTTGTAAATACTCATGTTGTTGTTTTTAACTTTGTGTTTGAATTCCTGAGTGAGAATGATTGGTGCTTTGTCATTGTAGAACCATGGTGTGGTGTGATTTCTAATCAAGTGTGAAGAATGCACCACTGAGACACAGTAGAAAATACATTGTGTCCCATGTGGATCCGTGTTTTAGACACACAAAAGGTTAAGAAAAACTTTCCATGGATATGTGTTTATTCATCCTTATATTATATTAAGATAAATGACTTTATTGAAGTCTGTAAATAGCTCATAAATAACAGCTTAATGTTGGCCTATCACCTGTACTTTGTAATTAACCTTTAAATATTCTTATTGCAATTAAAGACACTTGTATATCAAATTAAACTGGATGTTGCCTTGTCTTGGGTTTTTGCCAAGAAGGCTCATGATCTAAATTGCATTATTTTGATGTGTTAAAGTGATATTTAGTAGCCTATTTGTTGAAATGAAAACTTAAAAATGTTTGAACTAGTCTACCAGATTATAACTACTCCAAGATTAGTTCTTAGTAACATAGACACTTTAGTTATTATTATAATAATATCTAAGGATTCTAACTAAATGGATTTCAGTACTGGTCTACAACTGTTACACATGGATATTAAACAATTCTGGTCGCCAATTTAGCTTTGTATTCCAATATGAAGTTCACACTCGATTTCAATTGAGATGACCAATAGCCAATTGCAGTTTTGCGCATAATATGATTTGTAGGTGCATTGGCACGTATTACTCGTCAGTTCTAAAGTGGATCGGGCATGCAAGCCAGTGACCTTTCATTGCATAATAAAATGAATATATTATCGTGTAAGCTGTATTAAGCCGAATAATGCACGTATCAGACACGTGTACGGTAATCGGATCGTAGTTTTATAGTGCACTCGCGATTCTGAAAAGACGCGTATCACATAACTCAGGACCCTGTTATTCATGTTCCGCCGACATGATATTATTTCCATTGACATTCATTGCATTTACAATTCAATAAAATGCCTCGCCTACAGTTGCTAAAGGGCGAGTTATGAGTTCAAATATCAATGGACTTCTATGATATCAGAAGATTTATAGAACACGCCTTTGATTGACTACAAATAATGGCTTTTGAATGAGCATGAGACACGAGTGTTTAGGTCACCTATTTCAATCGCGGCGTATGCGCATCGTCATTTTGTAGTTGTATATAGAGATCATTATGGGAATCGAACCCTATTTTCCATTATATTCTATTTATTTTATATTTTTTGTACAACGGGTATACAATGAAGGACTTAAAGGCCAGTAGCATTCTCTAACAGCCAACCTTACTTGTATTCTATTCATTCGATACTAATAAAATAGGTACTCATCACATTTTGGAAAGGGCTTTACTTTCCAGGCTTTCATACAAAGTCGTGATAACACTCGGCAATAATGTTACTCAAATGAAATAGTATTATAAACACTGACTAATTGTTATTGAATCACGCGACAGTGTCCATGTTATTATTGTCTCACGACGGCGACAGTCCTCGTTTCGTGTATAATGTTATGGTATCACTATATTACTGTTGTATAAGCAGTAAGTTTGTGTTACTCTGTTTATTCAGTTCTAGTTTCCACTAGCCGTTTCAAAACTTTTGTGGAACGTAAACATGGCTGTTTTGAATTGATTTTGTCAATTTCGCAGGAAAAACATCGATGACGTTTCATTCGAGTTAATCAAAATAATCTCTGTTATTTCATGTTTCTATTACTGGAATTCAAGCCGTAAAAACGCGGCCAAGTACCGAAGTTGTTTGGTAATCAGTTTTATTTTCGTTTATGAAGAAAAGTGTTGTGGTCGAAATTAATTTGTCACCGAGGAGATTCCAGCAACATTCCATAGGAATTCTGTAGTTAATATTGATGATCAAAAATTCCTCCAGTGCAATTCTAATTTATTTTACGACCGTATAAACTGAAGGCTTGCCAGGAACTCGCATTGCCAGCCATTTCAAAACGCTTTTGGCTTATTTCCTTGCCAGTTCACATTAAGGACGCCATTTAAAAAGAGCGAAGTATTAATTTAATGGTACTTAAACTTTATAGAGCTTTTACGAGTACATGAGGTAAAAGGAGAGAACAACAAAACTGTTGACAATGGTGCCGCTTTGGACATTACTTTAACGTATAATTTAAGAGAAATAAAAGAGACAATAAACTACTTATGATGTTTTTGTATGCCATTTTTATTGTGACCAGATTTTTAGTAGAGACCATGCGAGTCTTCCTTGCATCGACATGCTCAAAACATCAGCTCGCAAATGCCCGTCTTTATAATCTAATTGAGTTCGCCGCCGCAACACTTCGCCACTCGTTCTCAATTGATACCAATTCGCCTCCAGTGTAGTAGCGTGCAAGATTGCACAAAATTACCATCATATAAACTGTTAACTGTTATATGAAGATTTTGCGGTATAACTGAAGCACTTGAATATTAACTCGTCGAGTACCGGTTTTATAGACACAATTAAAGAACAATAGGTCGCGGTCACCGGTGACCGCTTGGTGTTTGACAGATTAAACCGCGCCCATTTGCGGGTAGGCATCGCTTTGCAGTGGCCTCGATTCTGTTCGTCGCCCTCTATTCTGAAAACATCGATATTTATGTATTTTTGCTACTCGATGTGGACAAACAACACGCACTTAATTAATTCACATAGCATAGATACTATCGTTGTCTTTATTCTAGATAACGATACGTCTTGCCAGTACCTATTTAACTTACTTTTGACTTTATTGTCAGTATTTCTCAGTGACTTCCAAGTTTCCTTCCGAAAAGTGGCATATTTTTTCGGTATTTCGTTGAGTTTCTAGCTAATGGATATATTTTTGGATGAATTATTCGATAGGAGAAACGCAATAAATATGATAGGATCGAGTGAAGGATGAAATGTAGGTATAATTAACTTTGTAAGTGAAAACAAAATAGTAAATAATGTGTTAGTTAAAAAATGGGATAGGCTGCTGTAAATATTATGTGCTATTGACTCGCCCAAACGAAGCTATACAACTGCATAATTGCTACTTAGTTTCAATGCTAAACTTTTCAATAATATTGTTTCAGGAACACGTCGATCTTCAGCATGTTTTCAAACAACAACCTGACGCGCACGCGCAGGCATAGCGGGACCTTTGGTACTGTCACCTCGCCAATCAACGTAACTGTGAGTTTTTTTTTCAAAAGATATTCATGATATTTGTACTGGTGATCGTTTTTCGAAACGCCATTCTGCATAGTAACATTTTACGCTAACAATTATTGGCAAAAAACCGACTGTAATATAGATATTTACACAGAATCAACCAGTTATTAGATGCAGATACGCATCAGTCATGCTAGTCATGTTACACGTTCAATACGGGTGTGACTATTGTTGTGTTGTCAGCATAATTATGACTTCTTTGACTGCAGAATTATAAAACTTTACATTAGGTACAGTGCAGTGGTCTGGTCATGGGAAGTTTACATTGGTAGAGTATTTTAATAAGTACCTACAATTAATGTCACCTGGTAACGAAAGTTAAAATCGTAACTTGGACTTATCTACCTAAATTGATATGAACGATCTGCAAGTTTTTTCAAGAAACTGACCCTAAGAGTACTTGAATATAGTTAACATTCTCAAATGAACTTACAAAGTAGTAAAGTACAATAATCTGTCTTCTATAACAGGTGATTGTTTGTTGCACAGAGCTCGTGGGCGCGGATGGCGCCGCGAGTCAACCAGCTGCGCGCCGAGGAGTGCGCTGACGTGAGCAACACGCGCGAGGTGGCGCACGAGAGGGAAATACACACCGCCATGCAGATGGGCCAATCTTGTGAGGATCTGACGCTAGTCGCCGGATTAGCCAACTCACCCACTAGGACACCTAGGTATATACTGTTTTACATACCTACATAATCGTCGGTGTTCCACGATAATAGACTAACTAGATAGTGCCTTCTAGTGTACTTTCTAGTTTATCTTTGTGTTTCAATATGTTTCGTAGGCTGCCTTCATTGCAACAGACGTATTATGCGATATTATCCAGTCTGACTTATATTTTTCTGTTCAAGAATGTGGTATTGCGATGGTAAACTCAGTTATTTAGATCTTTGACTTAGATACAGACAATTCTATGGAAAATGAAGAAAATATAAATTGAGAATTTGAGATCTCTTGTTCTGCCATGCCACATAAACAATCCCCTTTGTATTGTAAGAGAGCTAAAACTCATAAAACAGAAAATCAGCTATCGTTTCGCCTTTAGCGAGCGGATATAATGATAGCGACAAAATCCAAATACATCTCGACATCTACGGAGCGCCAGCTCCTACGCTTGCCACGAGTTCATCATTGAATATCTCAAAGAAAACAATTGTCAGACGAAGCGATTTATTTAACGAGATAATTTATTCTGAGTAATAACTTTACGTAATTATTCTCAAATAGGATCGTTAAGTATAATAGGTGGCCTCGTTCATCTAATGAGCTCTTGCTTGGTAATGTTGGAGTGTGTGGCTCGGGTAGTAGGTTATAATGAGATGGAAAAGACCGGTCTTCTATTGAATCAAACTCATTTTCTAACTAGAATCTCACAAACCATGCATACTTTCCGCAATATGTCTGGACACTTGAACTTCTGGGCTGAAAAGAGATGGCGATCTTTAAATTTTTTCTTTTTAGAGTAGCCAGTGAAGCCTGAACTGAACTACTTATCCTGTGTCAAAATAAAAAAAAATCGTTGATGATGGAGGTCGTATCTAGGGTTTAGCGAAAAATAGCGTAAATAGCGCGATTTCGACAAACATATTCCTTATCACTTTAGGGATCCAGACTATCCGTGAAACTTTAAACAAAGTAATAAAACTGTTTTATGTTGTTTTTAAAGTACGAAGGAGTGTTTCTAGGTGATAAAAACAATGATTCATAAAATCAGCTTTACTTTCAAAGTGGTTGCTACGTGTTGCACCTATGTAGCTAGGAATATAGAAGTGTATTTTGTTATTCTGTAGATCGAAAAATGATTATTTGTCGTGACGTTACGCAGTGAGACAGCCCTCTTACATTATTACCTCCACCTACCACTTACATTTTCTCTCGATGACAGTGCCAGATAGTCACTCAATGTCGTAACCTGAAATTAAATGTTTATCGTTGCCCGCACTTACAGGCTTAGATAATGTTTTGTTATTGTTGCTAAGCCGACTCTTACGTAAAACAAAATTGTTGTTTGTTTTCTGGTTAACAGTTCTGTTTTGATACCAACTGTATATTTTACTGTAGTATAGTAATAAATGTGATAAAATATGTTACAGAAAAATATTATAATATCACTACTATATTTTCGTTCCAGATTTTCACCAGTAGTCTCCCCTTCTCCGACGCGGAAGTATACGACGCGGCGGAGCTTGTCCCCCATTGCTATCCGAGCGTCAAGCTTCAGTCCCGTCAGCCGGCCGAACATGCTGTCCGGTAAGCGACGGTGTGACGAGGTCGACTCCTCACTCTCCAAACGTATGTGTACCTCAGACAGACTCACACCCTCCACGCCAGGCACGCCAGACTCAGACTCCTTAGAGTGCACATTCAGGCCAGTCTCCCCAAGAGTCCAGCCTATGAATGAGTGTTCACACGAGTCTACAGATGTCCAGGGAAATCACAAATCAACAAATACTAGCTAATAGTGTATAAACAATTTTATAACAGGTTTTAAAATTGAAACTTTTGCGGGAATAGTTATATTAAGACATCTCTTGCCAACATCTTCGGATATACAGTCCAACCTTTTATGACCTTCAATTTTACATTGTTTAAAATAGTAGCTTTTATAAAATTACAAGTTAAGATCTAATATTTTCGCAAAAGTTTTCAACTCAATTCTAGTACTATGTATGGGTTTTAATGACTTCTCAGTACAATGGTATGTTATAATATATATTTCCAAAGTACATATAGCGAGTCATTAAAAACCCAGTAATAATCTTCATAGGGTTCAAATTCGTGTATTTGTTCCAATACAGTAGCCTACCACGTTGGTTCCTAATGAACTTGAAATTATTAACGTAGTTTTATAGGAATGAACTGTAAAGTATGTCTCAAATAGCTCTGGTTCCGTTGCTAGATTGCATATTGTAACAAGTATATTTTATAATATGTAGTTGTGTCTTGTCTGAGACTGGCTGGAGTCAATGACAACATTAGGTCATAGTGTAACAATTAACAAAAGTAAATTCGTCCTTGACACGACTCACGACATGGGGTCGCGGTCGTATAAAACTTTTCATCATCAAGGTGCGCTTGACTAACAAAATAAGTATGAGGTGTTTTCACAATTTCAATAATAAATAGCAAGAGAAATGCAATAGTTCATCAAAATATGACATGTAGCAACGGACTTGCGCATGAGATAGACTTAAGCGAGTGCCCTATTGTTAGCCAAAGCATCCAAAACTTTATTGTAAATATATTTAGAAGCGTTCGCGTGTATAGAACGTGTAATGTATATAATTTATATCGTAAGTTAGGATAGTGAACACTCGAAAGCGTGTAGGTATTATTGCAGGAGCGATAACTTCGTGTAGTTTCGTTTAGTCATTGGTATTTAAAATGTATATCGCGTTGCGACAATAAGTTGCGTGCTTTACACTTCGTAAGCAAATATGGAAAAATCTGGTTTGGTCGATTTTGTATGTATTTTAGATTTGTCGAATATTTCTGTGATTTGAGGTTTAATGTGAAGTGGCTTGCATGGATCCGAGAGCGTTTGAAATGTTAATTCCTCACATTGTATGTTATTTATTTAACAAACTTACAATCGTCATAATAAAAATATATTCGAAACGTATTTTCAACAGTAAGTTGCACAAATTAATATCTGTAATTTTCATTATAAATAAGGTTTTATAGGAGTCATGCAAGCTGCGTGATGTTTAAATTAATCCGCCGATCGTAATTTAAGTTTATACAAAATATACTGTTACTGAAGAGCTGAGTGTTTACTAGGCAACGACAAAATAGGACATAGCATAACAACTTTATTTTAATCTCAAGCTCTAACATATTGTTTATCGGACACAAAATAAGTAAATTTCAACTTCTGTTTATGTAAATTTGTCTAGTGAATACAATAGCCGTTGGTATTGATGGTTTTTTCTTAGTTATTGTAACCTCACCTTTGTTAGGCAAATACTTATATGTGGCAAACATGTTACGGCTTTAATGAAGTATCTTTGACGGTAGAAATGATAAGTACAGTATACTAAATGCTCTTGAAGCATTTTTTTAATAATTCATTTTCAACATAACATGACAATTTTAGTCTGTATATTCTTTTTAGGTAAAATTGGTGAAACATTGGACCACACCGAAATACTTTCATTGTTTTTTAACCCACCCCAACTTGCTCCGATAAGACCCATATACAAACATGGACTTTCTACTTATGAAAGGAAGGCGTGAGTTTCTGTATTTATGTAACGGCCCAATGTTACCCAATATGGCTATTTTATTTCATCGTAATCAAAATACAAATAGAAGTCTTGCAGCACCAGAAATGACAGCGCGAAATCTTTGTTTTACGTTACTAATGAATATAATATAGTACCTTATTCATTTCTAATTGTCACAGACACTTCTAGTTCCTGCCATGCCTCCGCATGTTCGTAAAATGTGCAATATTTTTCTCCACTACGCCGTAATGTGTGGCCACAACATTGCCTTATAATTTCTGATAGCTTAGGAAATGTGATCTACATATTTTTAGCTATAGATTGCCCTAAACTTTATGTACATGATTTAGATCTATGGTGACTTTGTTAGTCCGCATTTATTAAACTACGAAAATAGACAATGGGTTTAGCCAGCCAGCTTATAATGCACAGGTGCAAAAATAATTATAAATGAAACTATCTAATTTTCTCTTGAATAATGATAATTTATCTTCGACGCGGACGTAACAAAGCAATCCATTCCTTATAAAATAAAGTAGATCGTTGACGTATAGTAAAAGCGATCTGTATAAGACCACCTGTATTTCATTATCAAATAATTCATCTCAATGATTTGTAAATTAATTAATGAGCCCTCCTGTAGGCACCGGGAGTAGAATTGTATGTAATGTGATAAATCTTTTCATGTATCGAAATGTAATTTTTATAACACTTGTAATAATTGTGTTGCTGACAGAAATTAATCGTTTTTCGGATTACCTCATGGTTGCAGTCGTGACCTGAACGTGCATTTGTGTTAAATATAGTTTGTGCTATGTATATAAGTTGTAAGGCCACGACATCTTGTCCCGTGTTTACCTACGTGTATAAGTAGGTATTTTTTCGTAATTTTTTGTATGTATGTATTAGTCAAGATGTCAGGTTTGACTGCTGGAAAAACCATTTTGTTTTCAAGTGTGATTAAATCACAACATGAATAATTTACTTTGTTTTATTTAGATAACATTCATTTTGACAAATTTTAAATTCGCGCTACACTGTAAGCAGCGATTTCTGAATAAGAATGTATCTGAAATAAGATGAATCTTTGTTCTTATACACTTTTCGGAAAATGATGCAAACCGTTCTATTTATTTTGGATGTATTTCATGACTTACTGATACAATGAGATTAGAAATTAATGGAAAATAATAATGGTTCCGAAAAACAAATCATTCTTCAGCGATCTGTAGCAGACTATAAAAATGGATCTTCGAATAACAAAACTAAACTTCCGAATAGAATATTGAACCTCCGACAAAATTACTAAGTTACCGACAACAGACGTTTTAGGTTAGGTGAGGTTAGTAAGCAGCAATAAACAGTCATGTAAAGTAGTTAGAAAGTTAGTATTTTAGGCAGTAGATTTATTATTTTCAGTAAGGACAATTCTTCTTTTCTTGTCGTAGCTTTTATTACTACCCGTAATTAATATTCAGATAATGCAAACACCGGATTTCCACCATGAATTGTTTTGGCTGGTGTCTATGCGAAAGGTATACAACATTATGATAACGCATACGTAACCCTTGTTTTTTGATTACGATAACTATTGTTCTTGTTAGCAGCCCACACAAACAGTGCTTGTACTAAGCTTATTGTTGCGATATTTGCCTGCGCCCGCCGCGGCGGCACCACAGCCTTTGTAGAATCCAGATGTGTATGTAAAAAATCAAAGCAATTTTCACGGTGCATTTTACGCCCGCGGTGGTTGTGATTGTATGCGGATTGTCTGCGACCGGTTGGCGGGCGATTACTGCATTTGAAAATTCCGCCTCCGTCCGCCACAGCGGTGGAGATAATCGTGCCGTGAGTCCTTACTCTAATGAGGGATAGTTCTGGTTTAATTAATCAACAAGTTACCAAACCAAAATCACTTTTATTTACACGTCAGTTTTACATTAACCTTGTATAATTAGACGACAAATATTATCAAGAAGAAAACAGTTTTCAAAGTGACAATTATTCTAAAACTTATTATTAAACGAACAACATTATTATAACATTCCAATATTTTGTACTCTTTAAAATGTGATAAATTACAAAACATATGACAAATGATGCGAATAATCTCACAATAATTACTATGTAAATTAATTATATTAAAACATTACAAAATCCATTAATAATAAGTTATAATTAAAAGAGTATTAGCAAAGCTTGCCAAGAATACATAATATTATGTATAAAAACGTTTACACATCCGGCGCTGTTCAAGCCCGCACAGTACCGGCGCGCACATAAGTGTTATTGCAATAAGACAAAATAACCTAATATAAAATCTACAATGATACGACTACTACGATACTATAATACGATTAAAACAGGAATAATTAAATTCATTGAGAATCATTTCGATTTTACTGTATAACACTTATGATCGCGACTGTACAGTTGAGGCTAGCGATTTCTTAAAGATTCAACAAATGCTAGTCATAAAATAATCCTAGGCATTGCATATTTATCATATAAGCGAAAGCGCTCATGTACAAAATATAAACTTTGACGACTTTCACACTACGCACCGAGAATTTAAAATCTCTGTCCCCGACATTACAAATCAAAGTGTTACAATATATTTGTACATTTCTGATAAATACACACTTCAATACATTATCCGATTAACACGTTTAATTCACATAGGAAGACAGCGTCATACTATTCATATAATAAGCAGAGGCGGAAGTAAAACAATATTGGAATGTGGATATTAGGCATTGATTTTTGGTAAAGTCTATTGAGGTCAGACAGGACATGATGAGATTTTGGTTTACGTCATTTATTTTTTCAAACACTTGTTTCATAGAAACTTCGTGTCTCATTCAACTGGGATTATTTATTGAGGCTTCATCCTCCTGGTCAAACATTCGAGTTTCAGGTACCATAGCAACATATGGCACATCTTCGACAAAATCTGTATTTGGTCAGGCTACCCTGACTCCTCGCTATTACGTAACAAACATTTCAGTCTTTATTATTTTAATTAACCGAAAGTTAATAAACTTCACATAACAACTCGTACCATAGTTTATAACGCTTAATAATTCGTGCGTTTAACACAAATTCTTAATTCATCTAGGTTTTCCACTACCTACATGTTCACTTAATGGCAGTGTTATTATCTACTCGGGCTGGTAGACCCAAGGAAAATTGTCTAGTTTAGTCAAACTACTTATAATTAAAACGTTTAGTACTACTGAGCCAACGTGGCACCTTACATTTTACTGGTTTCCTTGATGACCGCCTTTGTAGCTCGCTCAAAGGTCCGAATTTTGTCAATTTCCATTCATTTCACGTGAACGAGCTACACGTTACATCGGAAGCGTTCACATTTTTAAATTAGACAGCAAATAACAATAATTAAGTAACACAAATTATCAATTGCGATTTCTTAGTCTACGGCAGCGCGGACCGAGTTCAGTCTGACGCAAGATCACTTTTAATTTATTGCCAAATGTTGTCTACTTAAACTTTAAATAGGAAAGTAAATTGTTATAATATGATTAAATTCAAAAGATCTAACAAATAATAGCACAGTTTGTTTCCGTCATTTTAAATTCATAAGTATTTAATATGAACTATGAAACTCGAAAGTATCAACACTTGTCCAAATTCAATAAATATACATTTTCAATCATGAGCGACAGAATAAGCTAATAAAATAGAAACTGCAATGAAGCCAGAAAATTAAACAACAACAACAAAAAAACTTTACATAAATAAGAACATATGAAGCGTGAATTTTATGTACATTGCAACTTGGGTCAGACATCGTTCGTCCGCTAGCCTCCAAATAATATACACACGACTTTACAAATGTATCTATTAGAAAATTTGGACCCACCTTAGTATAGTCTGTACAGCATGTAAAGCGCCACTGGGCTTTCCTCAGCTGGAGAGCACCGAGTCTTCGATGAGAGGTACCTTAGCTACTTCGAAGAAGATCGTATGGGAGTACTTGTTCCTAACTGTGCTAATGGCGGATTTTGGCTTCTTGTGCAGTGTTGCGTTCAGGGCGATTGCGATGGGGAGAATATCCTTGACGGTGTACCCTACGAAACGAAACGCATTTTTATTGAAACCATATACATCAACTCACACTATTTAATATCTCTGGGAAATTTTTACATATCCAAGTATTTTTTCCTGAATATTGAATATAATATAAATAATACAAATTCTAGCTATAAACAACTGACCTGTATAATACTGTAGTGTGGGGGTCCAGTTTCCGATGGACTTCATTTTGAGCGCCAGGTAGAGAGCGGCGGCTGCCATCTTGCTATCTGAGTACTCCAGCAAGTTGTACTCTAGCAGACACTGCTCCAGCACGAAGCGCGCCAGAGTCAGGGTCGGCATCGACACTCTTGCACACTAGCGATTTTAGAACAAGAGAATATTAACAACCATTCTTTTCCAGCACAATTTATAACTCAAGTAAATATTGTATTGTCTTGGAATAGAAATATAATCAGTTTTTACCCTGGCATATCTCCTGAGGAATCTGTAGGACAAGGGGATGCCAAGATCGAAGTCCACCACACGTAGAATGTTCATCTCCATCTTGAGTAGCTGGCTCAACGTATAAGCGCCGTCGCAGATGTACAGGAAGTCATCCACCAGTGGGGGGATGCGCTCCTATTGTAACAAATATGTATAACACGCATTACAATACTGCATTTTCGAGCAAATTAGTACATGGCAACAAGTTGATTAACATTCGGTATCATCAATGGAATCTAAATGAAAAATTGTATCTTAGAAAACCCTAAAAAAAGTACTGATTACACAGTAACAGATACTAGCATTAAATGTGTAATGAACTACGAAGAAAAAGTGCGCAGATGAATCACGAGCACATTTGTAGCAAAATTTTTAGCTCAAGAAGATTACCTACCTATATATACAAATATCAAACCCGTTTCCCGTTGTCACGCTATAACTTGAGAATGGCTGGAACGATTTAGCTGATTTTTTTTTGGTTCGAAAAGAAGGTTCTTATGATAGAAGAAAAAAAATCCTGACAATCTTATGGGAGCGGGAGAAAACAGGATTGCGCGTACGAAGTCGCGGGCAGAAGCTAGTAATAAATATGTATTCAACTTAGTAAACTTACATCAAACTTAGAAGCAATAAAAAGTGCAGAAGCACCAAGTAGCTGCAGTTCTTCCTTGGTCAGATGATCCTTCTCAGGCTGTGTCTTGGAGGAACGTGTTAGAAACAGGTCCACAAGCTTCACAGCAAGGTAAAGAGTCTCATGGTTCAGTTCAAAACTCTCCTGTACTTCCACCATCCAGTCGACAAGAAGGGCTCGCATCCATGAAGTGATTCCTTTCATCCTTTGAAGATAGTCATCAACAACGAAAAGGCGCTAAAAGGAAGGAGATAATATAGTAAGGATACACTAGGAAAGCGGTAATGGTTGGTTGATTTTTCTTATCAATGAATGGAGATCACTAAAGTTTTTTATTGCTGGGGGTAAATATTACATAACATAACATCACGCCTTTTATCCCCAAAGGAGTAGGCAGAGGTGTACATTATGCATGCCACTGTACAATGTAACACCCACTTTTCACAATTTATGTTATGAGTCCCATGTAATAGGGGGTGAGCCTATTGCCATATACCGGGCACAATTCCAGACTCTACTGCTACTACTAAATACTATTGTTCACAAAATATATTCTCAACAGTATTATCAACGGTTACATTGTGTAAGTAAGTTGCCAAACTAATCTAAATGGTTATATTTATTTTCATTACAATATTATTTCCATAGATACCAATACTTACTTCTCTACTCTTCAAGTAGTTAAAAATATCCATAGCATAGTTGGAGACTTGGAAGGGATCATTCCAGTTTTCTTGGTCAAAGTCTGGAACGTCCGAGGGTGGCTTGTGAGGCACCTCAGTCTCTTCATCCAAAGACCGGATGGTGTCATCAAGATTCACCTTGTCTAGCTTCTCACTTATAGTCTTGTATTCCTCTTTTGAAGTTTCTGATGGGCTGCTATAGAAATAGTAATAAATTCAATTATTTAAAGAAAAGGCAGCATAGAACATGATGGGCTTCATGCAATAGGGAATCAATTACATCAGACAACCTCAGCCATACACAGCTACTGTAACATTACTACTGTTGAATACATGTAGTAAAGTAGGCGAAAGTTCAAAATATTTTCTTTTACACCTATAATTATGAGCAATGGCAATAAGTCCAGTAGAGGAACTGATACCTCTACAAAATGCAGGCATGTATTATTGGATTGCTGATCCAGATTCATGAAAAGTGGGTCATTCAATTAAGGTCAAATACCATAACAATTTAAAGAATCTATTGGAGTGAGATGCCCATGAGCATATTGCGAACTAGTTAGTGAAATAATTTCATAAATCCAGCACTTACTAAAAAATAAAGAAAATGCAAAAATAAGAAATAAAATAACAATGACTATAATCAGTTATGGTAATATCCATTCAGTCAATTTTAAATACCAACCATCAAACTCCTTTCAATCAAGCATACGATGAAATCCATAATACACATTCATACAACCTTCCTTGCACCAAGAAGGGCTGTACTTAGGTTTCATAACTATAAAAATGTAAGGAAATAAAAGAAAAAGATAACTAACGTAGTTTCTAAAGCTGTCATGTACAGGGATGGTTCAGAGACATCACTCCTGGCCGACTTGGCAGAGTTCTGGCTCTGATTCTGATTAACATTCTTGTCTTTCTTCTGTTCAATGTTCTTGAGGATGCCATTCTGTGCCCTGGTGGCTACTGGTTTGACTGGATCCTTGGCAAAGTGCTTCTGCACTGCATCAATAGCATTTGTTGCCACTCGCTGCAGTGTTTTAGCTTTGGAGGTCTTGCCATTCAGTGTTGTCTGTGGCTTGATGCTCTAAAAGAAAATGCTTAGTTAGAATATAGGACATATATTTTATAAAGATACTTAGAAGTTGAAGAAGTAGTTAGAAGAGGATGTGAAGATTATTCCTAGCTGTTAACTTACTATAGTTTACAATAGGACTATACAGTTAAATATGCTGCAGAGAGGTTGTCCATTGAATAAAATGTAAATATAAAACTTCTTGTTAAACAATGATAAAACAAAGTTACAAGTAAACTTCATTATCTTTGCAGATTTGTTTAACCTTGGCCTTATTTGTTGAAGTCATATTATTACCATTGTATTACAGTCAAAATGTCGGGAAAGATATCAAGATGTGTCCATTAAAGTAAAATAGATTTAGTTGAGCCATCACCTAAATAAAATAGCACATTTTGCAGAATGTTGGTTTTGGAGGGAAAGTTCATTGACCCATATTATACTTGCAAATCCCATACCTAACATTGCAGATTAACACCACGTGAACTTTAACGAATAATATCAATAAAATGCCATTGCAATTCTAAAGGAATAACGAATAGAAGTACCCTCTAGTGATAAGTTATAACAAAAGGAAGTGTTCAAACCTTCACAGTCGGGAGCATTTTACTTTCCACAGTAACCTTCTTCACCCCCATGACTTTGTCTTTATCCTGGAGCGCAGTGGTCTTGTTGAAAGCGTTGGTGATATCACCAAACGCTGCTCGCTTTGCCGTAACATCTTTCAAAGGGCTATCAGCTTTCCTCTTGTTTGGAACCTTCAAACTATCCTTATGGGTTTTCAGAGAAGCCAGTTGCTTACTCCTCGTCGTAATTCCATGCCCCAGTAAACCATTCAAGTTCTCATTGACGCCGATCGGCTTTGATGCCAACCTTGTTGGCGCCATTATGGAGGTACTGAAACAATCCCACAAATATATCACGTGCACTCATTAACGTGGTAAATTAACACGGTTATGTCCACAAACTTGTAAATTAATATGTAAACGTAAACAAGCGTTTCAAAATCGTCACGGCTAACGACTGAAAATGGAGGCAAAACAAGCGAACATCGACACAGCGTCAAACGGTTATCTAACGTTTATTTTGTAATTTGTACTCACATTTATTTTACGGCGGTAGCCGTTTTGATTGAATCGTGGTTACTTTAGAAGTTACACGGCCTAATATTTATTTTCAATATGACTATTTCTATCTAAATTTCAGATAAATTCAACAAGACACCGGACTGATGAAACGTCTTCAAAAACCGTTGAGCTACTTTGAAATTTCATTGGCTCAACGGTAAACCTATGCAAAGGGAGGGAGGGTGCGATCCGTTTCACGTAGAATGTAATAAATTGCAACTAAACGCGATAAGACTATGTGTGCGGTTTAATCTATAAATATCGTTTAATTTTGTGTAAATACTTTATAAAAAAGTTGCTTGAAGCGTTCTCATAACTTTATATGCCTTTTTTGAAATTTTAATAAAGTATATTAGGAAGTTGCGATTAAAAATATTTTTTTCACAAAACCTCAAGTTCAGTTTTCGTAAACGGAACGTTTACGTCAAAACATCAAAGCGAAGGATTCTGATGGAGCATTCCAGGGTGATATTGTTTTTTATAATATTTAGCATTGGTTGTTTATTTACTATCACCAAAATAGTGTTATTAATTTGAAATAAATACAAAAATATACTTAAGTATGAATTTAAAATCGAACGTATGTACTATTTTCAGTAAATGTTACTCAAATTATCTTTAATCAATGAATAAAAAGTATTGTTTGCTAAAATAATTACTATCAATAGAAATGTCAAATGTTCAAGATTAAATAATGTATGAAACGCAATTGATAAGATGTGGTCATTGTACTTGCTGTTTTGATTTTTAATTAAAATAATAAAGTGGTAACAAAGGGATTATTTTCGGAAATACACTAGACCTTATGAAAATATTACAACACCCGAATTAAAAATGTTGGGAGGAGTTAAGCTCAAAGTGGTATTTACGCACGAAAAAACTTGCTTTGCTTATATCAGTCCAAAGTACAGTACAAATAATGAACAGGTAATAAATCACGAAATTTCATTATAAGATTGACTTTCCAATTAATATAACCTCCTTTAAGCCCTAAATAATGACTTTTTCCGATATATAATATTTTTGTTTAGGTTAGAATGTTGTTTACTATTACGCGAATTGTTGATCATCATTGTTGGCATTTATAGTTATCTATCATTATTTTGTATGTCATGGTTTCATTATATTAAGCACCCCAAGGACACTCATAACACTTTTTGTAAAATATTTTTTTTTAACCTTGTATAGGCAATGACCTGACAAAACTATTGACCCTGAGCTAAAATATTCAGTTAGTTTTTTTTTGTAAAATTGAATGCCAGCTCTTTCCCACAAAGTTATTGCATTTAAAATATAAATATATGAGCTATATCTACCTCTTTTTCACATGCCAGGTGTCTAAAGATACTTACAAAAATAGTTAAAATAAAAATATGGCAGAACATTTTGTTAAAAATTATGGTAAACATTATTGAGCAGGCAATGATCATAATTACTCATGATTAAGTAATTTAGTTGTACTATCAATTCAGATTTAGAAATTCATCCAATTTCATTTTGAGTTGCATCATAAAGCATAATGAAGCATTTTAGATACTAGTTGTAGGTAACAACTATTAGTACCTAAAATGCTTCATTATAGATTTATGCAAGCATTGTGTACATTTGTCATCAATTGTTAGATATAAGAAAATGTGTCCTAATGGGGCTGACAAGTTCCTGAATGAAAGTCCCTAAAAACATGTCTTGGATATTTATCTTCATAAATAACCTCACCAGTACAGTCATTACTTATTGTTATACTAAATTGTATGTTTTATTAATAAAGCCATATTATTTTTTGTAACCATTGGTGAATTATGGTCAAATTAATAACCAATGTCAATAAAAATCAGTGGATTGACTAAGGATTGATTTTTGACAGATACCTCCATACATGGGGATTCATTTCCTAACTGATGTTGGTAACCAATCAATGGCTAGACTCTGTGCACTAAATCAATCTTTATTTTCTAAGCTACATACCAAATAATTGCTTTACTACTTACTATAAGATTATATCTTAACTTACTTTAATTTTTTTAATAAATAAATATCATCACACCTTTTATCGCGATTATCGAAGGGGTATATGAAGGTGCACATTAGAATGTAACACCCACTTGTCACTATTTATGTTATAAGTCCCATGTAATAGGGGGTGAGCCTATTTTTTTACTTAACATGGATCTAAGCTTAAAATGTATTTTTTACTAACTTCTGCCAGTCTTCACTTGCATTCATGGGATACAAATTACCCCATACATTATTCCAGGGTATAATCTGCCTCTGTACCTAACCTGAGTAACAAACAATCAAATTCCAATGCATATATTGTTTGTTACATGTTGACAATAGATGTTATATTATAATAATAGTAGCATAGTAACATCCCTATAAAGTGTACAATAGTTTATATTTGGATTATTTTACTAGTCTTAAAATATTACAAAATTTATGTTGCACCAGTTATAAAAATATGTCAACATATCACATTACTTTATAGAATATTACTCAATTATTGTGTTAAATTATATACCTGGGTCATATTTTTATATTAAATATATAAAACATTTAGTCAAACTTTAATTTGATAAACAATATTAATCAGATTATTATTATACATCTGTAAATACATTCTACATCCACACACACATAATATTAGTAAGAGGTAGGATTTTATCTCATCAAGCAGCAGTCAAGGAGTTAATTAAACTGTCAAACACCAAGCGATCACCGGTGACCACAACCTATTGTTCTTTAATTGTGTCTATAAATACGGTACTCGACGAGTTAATGTAAAGGAATTTACTGTCAATGTACCTATTCTCATTTAATAAACATCTTTCAGACCCAATGTGTCCAAGTCCTGTGCAGGGACAAACAGATCCTGTTATGGGTGGTGTTCCACAGTGGTGTTCCAGAAGGTCACATAGCTTGCAATCCAATATACAGCCGGATGGTGGGGTTAGAGGAGGGGGTTGAAGCCTTTGTGTCTCCATATTCTGACCTGAAGGTGTTAGATGAGCTATATGTGGAGACTGATAGTCCTGATGATCAGGAGATATTGGTAAATAGTTTAATTTTTTTTTAAATAAAAAAGTAAATCACTATTACACTTTGATTAACCTCTAAAATAATAATAATAAAGACACATGTTGTTGGTTATAATTTTTATACCATTTCATGTTTCAGGAGCACAATGTAGAATTATTACAAATGCGCATATTAGATCAGCTGCGCCTTGTAGTGTCCAATCAGAAGGCAGTAGTTTGGATATCAGCTTCACTGCCTGTAGTCTTTACACCCAAACAGACGGGCATTCTAGTCAATCATAGCCAAATTATTGTCAAAATGGATGCTTTCAATAGCCTTCACAACTACCCAGCGTTGCCAGTCACTGCTCCTAAGGAAAATGAAGAGTTTAAGAACATAGGTGCTATAAACAAAGGCATGCTAGCCCCCTACTTAAATGCACCAACGAAATTAGTTCTCAGAGCTGTTCCGATAGACAGTGACGGTAAAAAGAACTTGATACACCCCTACACAGTATTCATTCATGAGGACATTATAGAGGAGAAATATAAGAATCTAACAATAATTCTATCTACAATGTCTAGTATACCTTCTATTTTAAGCAATGATGATGATACTGAGAATAATAATGTGCCTATCAATGATGTTGGTGTGGAGATAGTACCAATAGACTCCGTGATCTACAGGAGTTTGTGCCGAGAAGTGCACAATAGAAACATACCAACGGTACTTATACCAAAGGCTTTAAATGCTATAATAAATGTTGAAAACGGCATGAGAGTCATCTTCAGTATAATCGGAGACAGTGTAGAACAGCCTGATCACATTGATATAGTCACTTATTCAGACCAACAACAATCAGAAATGGATATTGTAGAGAAATTCAAGAACTGTGTCATTAGCAGTACTCATTCCGGCAAAAAGTTCCTCATAAATAATGGTTTGATTAAACAGAATAATGAAATCTGTAGTGGGTTCTTACAATTTAAATTGAAACCGGAGAAAATGAAGTTCACAATGCTGAATTCTGAATCTTTTAGAGCTTGCAGCATAGCAGCCAAATGTCTTAGTGATACGGACATGGCCTTACCAAAAGCGTTAATTTCAAAGTTAGATTATGACTATAAATATTACTGTAGAACTATGAAATCTATGGAGGACTTAGTCCAAAAGGTTTTGGCACATTTAAACTTTGAAATACACAGAGAGGCGACTTTTAAAGGTGTTTCGGAAATTAAGAGTAATGTTTTAGTTACTGGTGAGTTTCAATCAATTTATTACCTACATTATATTTTGAGTCAATTTCAACAGATTTACATAACATAATATCACGCCTTTTATCCCAGAACGGGTAGGCAGAGGTGCACATTATGCCACTGTACAGTGTAACACCCATTTTTCACTAACTATGTTATGAGTCCCATGTAATAGGGGGTGAGCCTATTGCCATATACTGAGCACAGTTCCAGACTCCGTGCTACTACTAAGAATTAAAACCTATTAATACTTTGCCGACCCGGGAATCGAACCCGAGACCCGGTAGTCACACTTGCGACCACTTGGCCGACGAGGCAGTCAGCAGATTTATTATGCACAAACCAAACAGTCTTCTCCTAAGTAGTGTGTTAAGCAAAAACACTAAATACAATTACTAACCAAATGGGTTTGAGTGTGAATTTTTATATTTGGTAACATACCAATGACACAGGACAAAATTCTAGTGTTGGGGCCATGTAAAAAATAAA